TTTCTGAAATAATTTATGTAGAATTGGTAACAGTTCTTCTCTAAATGTTTTATAAAATTCACTTGTAAAACCATCTGGTCCAGGGCTTTTCTTGAGCCATTATTTTAAGATCTCTGTGGTGTCCAGCTACCTTAACTGCAGACACATGGTCTTGCAAATTATCAACAGCTGTGGGACTATGATGATGTGAGAGAGAGAGAGAGAGCGTGAGTGCGAGAGAGAGCCTCCCACCCTGAGTTCATGACAACAAGACTTGAGATGAGCAAGACTTGAGGAAGATTGGAGCAAGACCCTACTGAAAGTAATATCCTGTTGACAAAACCCTGGTGATGGTGGTGGAGGCACTGTGGCCTTACTGTGGAAAAACTGTGGCAGGTATGACCAGAAGCTTTTTGTCTTTGTGCTAGCCACAGTTAAAGGTTTTGCTCTTCTTGCCTTTGATGATGGAAGGAAATGCTGTTTGCTGAACTAAAACTAGAGCCTGGATTAATTGAGAAATTGTTTCTTGAAAATACTGGGCTAAAACTTGAATTTGCATTGGGTGATATTCTTGGCCTCCCTCACTCTCTAATTTACTTCCCTAAGAAACCCCATTCTCAGTACCACAACTATGAGTCTGTACCTCAACAATGAGTAAATTAATCTCTTGCTGCTGGTGTGACTCTAGAGACATCATGGGGCTGGGCTACAAATCTTTGTCTGCTTCCTGCCCTGGAGCAGTAAAGTCATGTGTTATTCTCAATCCCGTTGGCCCTTTCAGAAAGATGCCCAAGGCCCTGTACCCCCATTTCCTATATTATTTTTTTTTTATTCTCTAGGGAAATTCTGCTGTTAGGGACCTCTCCAAAGTACTTAAGAGCAATGGTGTCTCTCTGGAGACTAAGGTGCGTCTGGTACAGGTCATGGTCTTCGCAATCACCTGTTATTCATCAGAGAGTTGGACAATGACCAGGGAGGATAGAAGGAGAATTGATGCCTTTGAGCTGTGGTGCTGGAGAAGAGTATTGAGAATACCATGGACTGCTAGGAAAACAAACAGATTTGTCCTGGAAAGGGTTAAAACGGGTGGCTCCTTGGAGGCAAGAATTCTGAGGCTCCGTCTAACATACTTTGGACATGTTGTGAGGAGAGACAGGTCCTTGGAGAAGGACCATCATGCTTGGTAGGGTGGAGGGACGGCACAGGAGAGGAAGGCCCTTTATGAGGTGGATTGATTCAGTGACTGGGATAATTGGGATGGGAGTGTCAGAGACAGTGCGATTGGCACAGGACAGAGAGGAGTTTAGGGCTGTTGTACATAGGGTCGCTATGAGTCGCAAGTGACTCAACGGCACATAGCAACAACAACAGAGAGGGCTTGAACTGCCAATCTTTCCATTTGCAGCACAGTGTTTTAAACATTTGTACCAGCTGGGAACTCCCCATCCTTTAACCAAAAACCAAACTGATTGCAGCCAAGTGGATTTAGACTTATGTCAACTTTGTATGTATTATAGTACAACTACGATTCATAGAGTGTTTAAGGCTATCAGTTATGAGTCAGAATCCACCAGACAACAGTGACATGGATTTCAGTCTTATAAAAGTTGATCATCAGGTCTTTCACTAAGCACCTCTGGGTGGGTTTGAAGGGCAATTCTTTTAATTAGCAGCCCAGCGCAAACCATTTGCACCACCCAGGAACCTCCCACAGCTTTTGTTATTATTGTTATGTGTCGTTGAGTTGCCCGCAACTCATAGGGACCCTATGTGTAATAGCTCTGAAGCCTGCCCTGTCCTGAGCCAGTCTCACTGATTCCAACACACAAACCCCCATTGTCCTAGTTACTGTATCAATCCATCTCATTCGGGGTCTTCCTCTCTTATGCTGTCCCCCCCACCTTCCGAACACCTTCCTTCTCCAAGGATTGGTCCCTTCTGGCCACCTGCCCAAAGTATGTGAGATGGAGCTTCAAAATCCTAGCCTCTAAGGAGAAACTTGGTTTCATCTGCTCGAAGACAGACCTATTTGTCTTCTTGGTGATCAAGATTCTTCTATAGCACTGCAATCAGAGACAACATTTTTTTTCTATCATCTTTAGTCAATATCTAGCTCTCTGATGCATAACAAGTAGTTGTGAAGACCGTGGACTGGATCAGGCACACTTTAGTCTCTAGACTGATATTGTTACTTCTCAGTTCTCTGGAAAGATCCCTGACAGCAGATTTACCTAATGCAGTTAATCTTTTGATTTCTTGACTGCTGGTACCAAGAGTGTTGATTGTAGAACCGAGAAAGCTGTAACTGTTAACAACCTCAGTCTTCTCCATCCAACACGGTGCTGCCAGTTTGCCCAGTAGTGAGAATCTTTGTCTTTTTTGATGTTGAGTTTCAGTCCATATTGAAGACTACAGTCCTTGACCTTCTGCAGCAATTGCTTCAGGTCTGCCTCAGTTTCAGCAAGTAAGATTGTGTCATCTTCATAATGCAGGTTGTTGATTCTTATTCCATGAAACTCTTAATTGCATCACTAATTAAATGGGATCTATAATTTCTCCTCTATATCTTTCAAGAGTATTCCTAAAATGGAAAGAGAAACTATTTGTGAAATGCATCATCTAGCAAGTAGTAGACAGTTGTGTTTAGTTATGTAGTTGTTGTTAGATGCTATCAAATCAATTCCAACTCATAGTGACTCTATATACAAAAGACCACTTTCTAGTCTTGTGTCAGCTCAGATTCTCTGCTGTACTTGAACTTGTTGATGTAGCCACTGTGTTAATCTATAGCATTGAAGATCTTCCTCTTTTTTGCTTACAAAGCATGATGTCTTTCTCCAGTTCCTAGTCCTAAAATGTGGAGAAAATCTCCAGAGAGCTTCCTGACTTTATTTCTTCTAAGTCAGATGATTAATGTTTCTTTTCCCATTTCTTGGCATATTCAGTATTCTTCACCAACACAATCAAAGACATTAATTCTTTTTTGTCTTGTTTTAATCATTCTTAACCTTTCAAACACTAATGAGGCAAGTGAAAATACTATGGCAAGAGTCAGGTCTCCCTTAATCCTGGAAGTGGCATCCTTAGTTTTTAATATATGCAAAGAGTCCTCTCAGCAGCTTTGCTTACTGAAATACTCATTTCATTTCTTGACTGCTGATTCTGTGGTTGTATTGTTAATGCAAGTGCAATGAAATCCTTGACACTGTCACTCTTTTCTCCATTTATTGTGATATTACTTATTGATCCGGTTGTGAGAATTTATACTGAATCCTTAGAGATTTACTAGTAACTGCTCCAAATATTTATCCTCAGCAAGCCAGGTTGTGTCCTCTGTGTGTTGCAGCTTATTAATGAGTCTTCCTCCAATCATGACATGAATTCTTCTTCAAATAATCCAGTTTCCCAGACTATTTGATCAGTGCACAGATTGAATAAGTACTGTGAAAGACTACTGCCCTATATACACACTTTGTTCTGTTCAAAAGACAACTTCTTATAAGATGTACAAGTTCTGCATGAGCACAATCAAGTGTTCTGGAATTCACATTCTTTGCAGAATTATCCATTATTTCTTATGATTCATGAAGTTGAATGTGCTTGCATCCTTGTGTTTAGCTAGAGAAAGGTTATTCACTATTTTAATTTTGCTAAATAATAAGATAAAAAAATTGTATCTCTACCAACAGTATATATGGGGAAACTACACACAACTATTTAGGTGAGTCAGAGCCGTATTTTTTAATACGTCTCCTGTCCCAACTCAGAGCTTCTCCTGCGGGGAGTTTTCAGAGGCTGTAAATTGCACTGCAGGAAACTGCCCATCTTTATTATTTGGAGCAGCTGGTGAACTCAAACCAGCTGCTTTTAAGTTGGCAGTGTACCTCCTTACAACTCATCTATACAGTTAGAATTTTAAATATTTTTTTTTCTTCCTTACGTTTGTGATGCAAGTATGGGAAGTTTACAGAGAAATGGCCCTTCATCCCTTGGCATAAGGACAATTATGCATTGTAATAATTTTGTCTCATAGAATGATTGAAGATAGTGGGAAAAGAGGAAATACCATGGCAGAAAGAAGACAACTGTTTGCAGAGATGAGTAAGTATGACTTCTCAAGGACATCATACCGTTTCTATTACACGTACAAAGAAATAATCTAAGTAACCATCTCACCCAGTGGCATTTGTACTTTTCCTAAAAATCTTAAACTCCTTGACTAAAATATATATCTGAATGTTTAGCCTCGAATGAACTAAGAATTAAATTAGATCTTGACAGATCATAATTTTTCACTACACGGATTGTGAGTTTAGGATGGGACAAGGTTCAGATCTATTGTTCATAGAGTTGCTATGAGTTTTAGTTGACACGACAGCACCTAACCATAACAATAACAGCTTATATTTTATGTGAAAAACAAATTTATGGTGATACACATATAGCTACAGAGAGAGAGAGACTTCATGAATACTGTTTCGTTTCAACATTAATACAGTTAACTTTAAAGTCTGTGTTCAGCCCTCTGCACGACAGTATCTAACAAATAGATAAAATGTGTGAAGTGAATCACTGAACATCTTACCTTCAACACAGTATCACATGCTTATAAGAGAGAGAAATCAGGCATGATTAACAGGCCAAACTGAGCTATATTATTTGGACTTTACGAAAAAGGAGAAGTAACTCCTGTGATACAGTGGCAAAATTGCTAGGTCGCTAACCACAAAGGTCAGTGGTTTGATCCCACCAGCCCTTCCAAGAAAAGAAAAGATGAAAAAAGAAGGAAGTCATTGCTATACAAAGGAAAGTCAAAACGAAATTTTATTTATCCTCCAGTAGAGAATTCATTTTATATGAGTCATTAGTTTCTATAAATGCCTATTTGTTGTATGTAGTTAGCTGGTGTTGTAGGGCACATAGACTATTTTTCTTATTCATAAATGAGGAAGAACTTGACATTGAATGGAATAATACACACCTCAAGTTAAATGTTGTACAGAAATGAAAGGTAACATTAGTTTGCTGTCTCTCCTCCCAGCATTAGAATCAGGATGAGCAGGAGTAAGTTGTAAGCCTTGCTTCCCGAGAACGCAGTAGACAAGTAAGCTTTCTTCTGAAGACTTGAAACTCATGGGCGAGAAGGAGGGAGGGAGGAGATAAAGGAAAATCCCAGATAAGATTCCTGTTTTCCTTTTTCATCTGCCAGAACCAAGACAGTGTTAGAACTTTCAAAGAGGAAAGAAAATTAAAGAAAATTTGAGATGGAGAGTCTCAAACATGCCCCTTGCCTTTCCTATGGATGTGTTTTCCATTCTTAGTAGCATATTCAAAGTATCTTTCAGCCAAGAGCTTCCAATTTCCTAGAGTAGGTTTTCTTGATATTGCCACTCCTCAGAAGGCCATTTACCTAGAATTGTGACCTTTGTTCATGAAAATCTAACAGAGCAAAGTGCTAAGTGACTTTCCTCCCATCAGAGAAGGTTCATAACAGTACAGCTGTCCTCTCACACGAGAGGTTCTTAGACTAAGACAGCAAGAAGTGTAAACATTCGTGACTAACACTTTATCTGACAAGAAAAGAGTTTTTAACATTGAATATAAAATTTAAAAATAATAAAATATCAAGAGAAACATTTCCATTTGTCTTTGTAACAGAATTGTATCAGGGCATTGAAAAATTGCCCAACTCTGCTTATTGAGTGATTTTTCAGTTCACGCCTGTGTTGAAGTGCACTATCTCAGATTCTTCTGCACTTGATGCAGGGGTGACAAGAGAATACATCTGTCATATACTATGTTCAACTGCATCAAAGATTTAAATTGCTAAAGCTTCATCTGTCATATACTATGTTCAACTGCATCAAAGATTTAAATTGCTAAAGCTTCATCTCCACACTTTGGGCATGTGGCCATGAGTCCTTAGACAAAGACATTATGCTTGGAAAGGTTGAGGAACAGCAAGGAGAGGAAGACCCCAGTGAAATGGATTGACACAGTCATTGGGTAATAAGTGTAGGTATGCCAAAGTCAATGAGCCTGTTTCAGTACAGGGCAGCATTCAGACCTATTGTACATAAGGCTGTTATGAGTAGCAGGTGACTCACATAAAAACAACAACATCTAAAAGAAAGATAAGTTCTTATAGTCCTGGCTATACCACATCTCTCAATTTTAATTCGAGTGAAACTTAGGGGAAATGTACACTAATTTCCCAAATCGTAGCTCAATGTTTTTAATAGAAATTTTAAAAGCTAATATTTTTAGGCATTTCTTTGATGAGCGATCAGAGTAGTTAAGCCAGCCACCACAATGTGTTTCTTTCCCCTTTGGGTATGCTAAATGATAGACAGATGACAGCCTAAATAACTGAACACACCTGACCTTAGCAACCCCTTAGTTTGAACATTGTGTTTAGATCAGCACCAAGTAGAATACATCTGCATTAAGTGCGGATGCTGTTGGGTGAATCAAAGGGCTGTTTTCAAAAGAAGGAACTGATTCTGATAGGTAGACAGTCATGCAAAAGAGAAAGGTTAATCTCATTTAGACTCTGTTAAATAGCTGGAAAATGTGTTAACCAGGGTGATGAGGACTCCAGAGAATTAACAGGAAACTATTAACAATGAAGACTGGATCCAGAAATGGAAAGTAACTTCTTTTAGGAATCTGTGATGACAAGACAAGGAGACAAAAAGGAAACAAGAATTTGTCGATTTGATCAGCAAAATAGTATCTGTTGTTGTTGTTGTTGTTGTGTGCTGTAGTGTCGGAAACAACCCATAGCTGACCCTGCAGTGAGTTTTCAGAAGCAGGTAACCAACCACATAGGAGGAGACTGCTCATCCTTCTCCTGCAAAGTAGCTGATGGCTTCGAACCCCCTTCCTTCGGGATTGCAGCACAGAAAGTGCTAAGGAGATTTTGCACTTTGGATATTATAAAGAACAGAGAAGAACAGTTGATAAGGAAATCTAGCATATTTCACTGGTTGCATCCCTGTGTATTAAACATCTCTGAAAGCTCTGGTGAAATAGTCCATAATGAGATAGGTGAGACTTCTCTAGCAGTTCAAATTCACCAGAGCTTTTAAGGAGAAATATAGGCAGTCTCCTTCTGTGCACAGCACTTAACAACATAGAGAGAGATCAGTTGGCCTATTGGACCAAAAGTGATGCTACCGAGCCACAGATGGGTGACTCTAATCCACAGCCTGAAGGCTTGTCTTTAATTGTTTTTGGTGAAACATTCTTCTAGGTCGCATAGCCTTGGTGTGTCCACTTGCTATACAGAGGTAACTTGTGGTTGTTGTGAAGCTGAACACGTGTCAAATGCAATAAATGTTACCCAAAGCAGACAGTGTTTGGTGGCACTCCCCAGCCAAAACAAGCTTGGAAGCAGGAGTGGCATCTACTTCCATAAATAAATAGCTTGCCTCTGGAAACCCCACGAACATGGAGAAAGGAGGAAAGTCATGCATCTGTCGAGGACTTTCGTTCATAGGGTCGCTATGAGTCGCCTATGATTCGATGGCACTTAACAACAACAACACATAAACCCAAGGGACGGTCAGCTGTGAGTCAATTCGGACCGAAGGGTAATAAATTGAGTTTCTGAGCTCATTAACACAAGAAGCAAAAAACATAAAGGAAGGGCAAAGAAAGAGGCAAAGAGCAGCATGTGACCACAAGTAAGCAAAGCAAAGCTCACCTCATTTCAACAAGTGGGCAATCTTCTGCTTTGATTGGAGAAAGTCTGGGTAGGTTACTCATGACCAAATCTTCTAACATTATGACCAAATGATCCACTTTGACAACGTGGAAGCCAGAAAATACTATTTAAATGAGAATATCATCCTCACTGTGGCTATCTCAGTTACCAAGTAAGTTTATCCATTTAAATGGGTTTCTCAGACTGGCTAAATATTGCAAAATATTGCTTATCCCTAGAACTAAATTCACCCTCTCCTGTTATTTCTCCTCTCAGAATGCATTTACTCTGACTTTAGTGATGATTTCTTAAGAACATTCCTGGATCTCTCACTGTTGTGAACTCCTTAGGAGAAGGCCATGGGTATTTACCCTTAAATCCTGCCTTTTACCTTTTAAATCAATCACTTTTAAATGCTTGTGAAATATAGGATAAATAGATTTTGTTGTTGCTGTTAGTTCCTCAGCATAATGTTCTTCAGTCCCTCCCAAGTTAGGTAATAATTTACAAAGTTACTGCTCCCGCTTGCTGCATAGTATTCCATTGTGTGAATGTAGCATAATTTCTCAATCCATTTGTTTGTGGTTGGACATTTGGGCTGTTTCCAAGTTCTTGTGATGGTGAATAATGCTGCTATGAACAATAATGTACAAATCTCAGTTTATGCCTCAATTCTCATATTCTCATGGTATATTCCAGGTAGTGGAATAGCTGGGTCATATAGAATTTCTATGTTCAGCTTTTTAAGGAAGTGCCAAACTGCCTTCCAGAATGGTTGGACCATTTTACAGTTCCACCAACAATGTATAAGAGTTCCTTTCCCACTACATCCTCTCCAAGATTTATTACTTGCTGCCCTGTTAAACTTTGCCACTGTCACTGGAGTGAGATGATACCTCATTGTAGTTTTGATTTGCATCTCTCTTATTGCCAGTGATTTGGAGCATTTCTTCATGTGTCCATTTGCCATTTGAATATCTTCCTCGGTGAAAATTCTTTCCATGTCTTTTGCCCATTTTTAATTGGGTTATCAGTCTTCTTCTTGTGCAGGTCAGGAGTATCCTGGAGTATTTCCTAGGTCTCTTTAAAATCTAGAGTCACTAGATCTTTTTAATATCTAGGACTTACTTCATCTACTAGGAAGAACTTCAACAAATAGGAAACATTTACAGATGCCCATGCTGCTTCAGGAAGGCTCTCGGTAAGATGGTTTAGTGTGGCGACTACCACAACGGGCTTGAGCGTGACAGAGATGGTGCAGATCGTGCAGGAGAGAGCGAGGTTCAAAGCTATTGTTTCTCACTAAGAGTCTTAATCAACTTGGCCACACTTAACAACAACAACATACTCCTTCTTGATCCTTTTACAAAATATGAAGTCTGTTAAGTCATGT